GACGTTCAACCTGCATGAAAACAAACATTGTCTAGACATTTTCCTGAATAAACCTTGAGCTCATGTTTTAAACTGTTGAATGTGCCTATGTGCTTTTAAATAGTGTCCCTTTCTCATATGACAAATGCCTACACATTCACTTTGAATATTTGTGCAATGAAATAAGTGGAAGGGGAAAGTGAAGACATTCATCGCTATTAGGAGCAATTGTCATCATTGGGAGATTGGAATGGTTTAAACATTTCGTAGGGCAGATTTTCTTGTGACAATGGCATGACTGAGAAGTTCACATTATTTAATAAGTTTTATTGGTAAAGAAATAACTATATTGTTCACATGCCAGTAATAAACCCTTATGCAATTAAATAAGATAACCAATCATATGCAATGATCTGCAATAAAGAAAGACTAGAAAACAAATAGACTACTTTTTTTGTCAACTAACTATGCCTTTGCTATTAAGGTGGCACCACATTTAATTTTTTGTATATGTGTGGTGTGCCTGTTGGTGTATATGTGAAACTTCCAGGAGGAAAAAATGGAAAAAGAAAGAAACGCCTCACAACGTACCGCCTTCATCTGTACCTGGGCTTATTTAACAGCTTTTGGGAGCACAAAGTACTGCACTTGCATCCTGCTCACAAATTAATCATTTTAAAATGACAAAATATTCATTTATTCTCTTCTTCTCCATACACCTGTGCATCCTGGTGTGTCTGAGCACCACACAGCACCACGGACCCTGGAGACACAAGGTAAAGTGGGAAACTAATGGACAGGTTTACAGTTTACTGAGCACCGGTTCTCAGTATCACACACCTTTTTCTGCAAAAAGGAACGCAAGGTTTTTATTGACAAGGCTTATGCCAACATTCTCAAGCAGGATTTTCATGGGACATTTTGCCAATACTAAGATACACACAGTTGGGCATGCGGTGCATTCAAACTCTGTGCCAGAGCACAGTCTTGGTATGGATGCAAGACCCTACATGATGTCTGGTTACGCATCTCACATGAGGAATAATAACCAGATGCCTTTGCATGCAACTGCACTTTCTTCTGACGAAGCTCTGCGTCCCCAGCCCATCCAATATAGGACAGCACCAACTGGCACAACTACACTGGAAGCTTCAGGGAGCTCAAGAGCATCAGGACGCCATAATTTAGTTTCCAGCACACCAGTGCCAAAACGAACATCACACACTGCAGCTACTGGAAAACCACCCACTATCAATTCTGAGGAGAATCCGCTTCCTCAACCTCAACTTTCCACTTTGACCGGGAGTAAAACTGCTAATGAATCTAAACTTTCAACAAGAACCAGTTTGGCTGCACCTTCAGCAACTGTTAACAACAGAAATACAATAAATCCTACCCTCCAGGGCGAGGAAAGAAGAGGAGGTGACAGTATGACTGGTGATGAACCAACGAATCCTCAAGTAAACTCGTTTTACTATAATCTGCTCCCGTATGGAAGTGTCGATAGATCTCCTCAGAGAGAAACGGGTCATGGTACAAGCTATTTTCATAACGGTAAGACAACATTTTAAGCTTTTTAGTCAAAGTGCAAATTACAATGACTTAAAGGGCATTTGACTGTCTTTAAAGTAAGTTTCCCTGATAGCACACGTACATCATGGAGACATCTATTTGACATCTGCAAGACATATTTTTTAGAGCGTTTGCTCATCTGCAATAGGTCTATAGGACGTTTCCTATCAGATG